TAATACATATTGAACACCTGCTGTGCTGGATACTGTGCCTCTCTGTTTAAATTCCTCTATCAACAACAGAAGTAGACTTCCATCCAAATAGCTTGTCCTTTACTGAACATCTCTAAAAGTTAGGAAATTCTTCATTAAACTAAGCCAAAGCATGCCTCCCAATTATTCACTTGTTTTGGCTCTGGTCCTATCCTTTGAAGCAATATGAATAAGTCAATTTCCTCATCTCAGTTATTCAAATATATGAAGAGTTGCCTTCCACTTAGTTATTAAATCTTCCACTTAGTTTTCTTTCTCTAAACAGCTATTTTATTTATCTAGCACATGGTTTGGCACACTTTCTGTAAAGGGCCAGATGGTAACTATTTTTGACCCTATGGGCCACATGGTCTCTGTCACAACTTATCAATTCTGTCATTGTAATGCAAAAACAGCCATAGACATTCTGTAAATGAGTGGCAGTGTTCCAATAAAATATTATTTACAAAAACAACAGGCCAGCTTTGGCCTTAGGCTATGGTTTGCCAGATTCTGATTTAGCCCTTGGAAACTTATCAACAAGGATATTTGTGACTGCTATTCCCCTATCCAACAGAAAACTTCTTCTTTGTCACTCCTGATTCTTCTTATACCTTTCATTTCTTTTTCTTATCTTACTACTTTGGCTAGGATTTTTACCACTGGCTGCATTTCCAAAGCTCTGTTTTTTGGCCATTCACACAGCCAGATTTATCCATTGCAAGTCATCTTTAGCTTGGAAATGTAACCATGACAAGTCTCTTCTTGTTCTGCCATGTTCTTAGTCCACACATCCCTTGACCTCTCCCAGACTGGCTCTTCTCCAATCTTCCCCACAAATATGTCCACATTAAGAAATGTAGAATCCCTTTTTCCATCCCTTTCTTCCTTAAACCTGTTAGACTATAGCCATCATTCTGGGTTTCAGGCTTTCTTCAATCAATAGTCTAGAGTTAACTATAACCTTAGTCTAACCCAGCCTAGAGCTGCCCGAGAGGAGATAGGTAGAAAATTACCATTATATTGATGGGTCAGGTGCTGCTGACATAAAATGTGTATGTTAAATTACAATATTCTGGATGCAGAAAGTGTAACTCAGGATTGGTAATTTAACCAACTCATGGTTGTGCAACTGAGTTTCAAGGAGTTGATTCCAGTTCTAGGCTGCAATTCAAATTTCAGTGGACCTCGTGAGTAGACTGTGTACCTCTGCTAAAAGTAAATTCAACATCTTATCATGGGTACAGCAGAGCTTCTGAGATTTGATCATCCTCTTTCCTCAAGATGTTCACAAGGTGCAGAATAACATTTGCACTGAACTTTCGGTTTTCAAAGCATTTCTTTCAGACCCTTATGGAATAATAGGTGATTTTATTTGTTTTAGAGGAGAGGATATCAAATCCCAAATTGTTAAAAATATTTGCCTAAGGCTTCAAGTCCCAACATCCATTTCTCCCTATAGAGTCCACATTTGCTTTTCTCTTAGAAATCAAACCCCACCTCTTTGACCATTTAACTTTTGTCTTTCAAAACTCAGCTTGATCATCATCTTCTCCAGGAAACCCTCCCTGGCAATCACCCCCATCCTGTCTCCACCATCTTATTTAGATGTTCTTCGTCTGTATTAACCCAGATTGTAGCTCCATTTGTACTGTACCCTACCTAATGATTTATTAGCATGTAAGGAAAACAAGGGTGAGATTCCTGTCTCATTTAATTTTGTACTTAATAAATACTTATTGAATAAAGAAATGTCCTGAGATAGAACAAAGTGAGTAAGCCCCCTGAGATATTGCTCATTCTTAACTACAGTAGAAAGCAAACCAAAAACATCAGCTTTCCAGAGACAAACTCAAATGAAAGGATCATCCAAGAAGTCATGGATCTCTGCAGCCAAAGAACATCAGACTCTCAAACCCATGAGGTTTCAGACTAGATAGAAAAGAAAGCAGCACCATCTATGGTGAATAGCCAAGTTCTGGAGTCAGGTTTCTTGGGTTTGATCTTGACTCTTCCATTTCCCAGCAGTGACTTCATTTTTCTGTGCTTTGGTTTCTAATCTGTCAAATGTAGTTAATGATAGAAATTATTTCTGCAACAAACTTCCCCCAAACTTAGTATCTCAAAACAAAACAATTACTGTCACACAGTTTCTGTGGTTCAGGAATTTGAAAGGTGCTAAGTTCAGGGTCACTCATGAGGTCACAGTCAAGATGTAGACTGTGGCAGCAGTCATCAGAAGCTTTGACTGAGGCTGGAGGGTCCACTTCCAAGATGACTCACTCCCAAGGCAGGTGACTAGAGGCCTCAGTTGTTGTCACAGGGAACTCTCCTTACAAGGTAACTTATCCACCCCCCCACCCCCCCGCCGAGTAAGCAGGATAGGAAGAGCTAGAGGGAAACCCTAATGACTTATACGACCTATTCTCATAAATCACACACTGTTATTATCATTTCCACCACATTGTATATATCAAAAGGAAGTCACTAAGGACAGCCCATATTAAGGGGAGGGAAAGTAAGCTCTACATTTTGAAGGGAGCAGTATCAAAGAATGTGTGCACATATTTAAGCACCACCGCACTATCTTAAAGGGCTGGGTGAGGATTATTTGATAATAATTGCAAAGTGCTTAGAATGGAACTTAAGCAGCAACTCACTTGAATTACCTTCCTCTTGGTGAGAAAGGACATATTTGCTGTCAATTTGAAGGCTTTGGCTTGGAAAGTGTCTCTTAAAAATAGAGCAAGTATGTTAAAACCAAGTGAGTACCATTACAATTGAAGTTATCTGACATGAAAAGCTGTTCATGTCTTGAATTTTGAAAAGCAGGTATAAAAATCATGTACAATATGGTCTGGCATTTGTGTAATTTTTTCTATCTACCTGTCTGTCTGTCTGTCTGTCTCTCTGTACATGGATGGATAGGGAGAATTCTGGAAGGAGTTTCCTCAAAATATTAATAGTGGTTATCTCTGGGTGGTAGAATTTGTGTTGTTAAAAAAAAATTTTCCCTTTGTGTTTTTCTGCATTGTTTGAATTTACACTAAGAATATATCTACAAAAATAGCAGAGGCATTTTTCAAAGGAAATAAAAAGGAAACCAAGTTGGAAGAAAGATGTGGAAAGGACTAGGATTTGAGCCAGGACATTGCTGCTTAATGGGGACTGGCTTGTTCCCTGTGAAGTACCTGACTGACAGCGTGTCCTGTGACCCTTCAGGTAGTTGTAAAGACCTGTATGTCCTGGGAGCAGGTAAGAGTTTGTGATTAGATCTGAGGAGACATATATATGCAAGGGATGGTTGATAATTCTTGGTGAAAAGAGGAAAAGAGGAAACAAGGGGAGGAGAGAATTCTGTGTGGCAAAGAGAAAAGACAGGGCGAATCTGGTGTGGACAACAGTGTGAATGTTCACCCATTGCCTTGGAGAAGATAGCTTTACTGATGCAGGAATGATAGTTTTGAATTACCAGTAACCTATGGTACCATGGTACCTTATATAACCTTTATAATTGCATCAGATAAATTGAATTTGGTTCAGTTCTACCTCTCTCTTAATAGACCATGCAAGCAGGTCCTGCATTCTAGCTCAATATATAGTTCCCAACATAGAGCAGAGTTCAATAATTTGGAGAATAAAGATAAGTTATTTTTGTAATAATGCCTTTAAATGAAACAATTTTGTGTCTTCTGACATTCAGCTGAATAATTTCTTGTTAAATGAAACAGAGGGATTTAAATAAATATATTCGGGAAAGTTGAAAACACTGCTTAGATCTGTTTTATAAGGATTTAAATCTACCATTAGTTCCCCATTTGTCACATCTATTCTTTGTCCACCTTTTCTACTTTTTCTGCCTTTTTTGTTATTCAAATTTTTTATGATTCTAGTATCTTGACTTATTTCATATATCTTTTCTTTAACTGTTGCTTTGAAGCTTATAGTATGCTTCTTTAACTTAATACAGTCTGCCTTAAATTTATATTATGCCAATCCATGTGGAAAATGATTTTATTATATGTTCATTTCCCTCTCTCTTCATCTTTGTTTTATTATGGTCATCCATTTTACTTCTGTACTTGTTAGAAACCCCATAACACATTGTTATTATTTTTGCTTTAGCCGGTCAATTATCTTGTTAAATGATTTGAAAGGTAATACAAGCTGTATTTACCCATGTACTATTTTCTGGACTCTTTACTGTTTTGTATAGCTCCAGATTTCTGATGTCATTTTCTTTTCATGGTCAATGGTAAAGGGCTTCCTTTACCATTTCTTATATACAGGTTTGCTAATGATGACTTATTTTAGTTTTTTTATGTTTAAATGTCTTTATCTCACTTTCGTTTTTTGAAAGCTATATATGCTATGTATAGAATTGGCAGTACTTTTTTTTTTTTTTGCTACTTTACAGATTTACTCCACTGTCTTCTGACTTGCATTGCTTCTCATGGAAAGTCTGTTATCATCCTTACCTTTGCTCCTCTCTACTTCACGTGTCTTCTTCCTCCAGTTTCCTTCATTTCAGTGAACTCTCAGCTTTTTCTCTTTAAATCATGCAGACTTTTGAGTTCTACTTGGCATCCCCTTCCCCTCTTACAGCGTAGGGTATTTATAGTACTCATCTCATTTGGATTTTGTTGTTGTTAGGTTTTCTTTTTTTCTTTTGCTTCTTTCAGAGATCACTGTTCAGTGTTGTCTTTTGTTCAATGTCTGAAAACTGTTACTTCATTTTTCTCTGATTTTTTTCGGTTGTTTAAGGCAGGAGGATAAATCTGGTCTCTGTTATTCCATTTTGACTGAAAACACAAGTTCTGAAATATTCAATCAGAAAAATAGCTAAAACGTTAAAATTAAGTTCTAATTGCAAAATTCCTTCCTCGAAATTTGTTTGTATTTTTCACGAGCTCAGATTTATGAGTTCATTTTTAAAAATTACTTCATGCCAAAGTCATTAACATTGTTCCTTTTTCTTACAGGAAATGTTCAAATGAGATTTTTTAATTATTGCAAGTCAGTGATGGATCAGAAGTTGCAGAATACAGTCAATGAAAGTTTTCAAATGTGTTTGCTTCAAATATCGGAGTTAAAATTGATCTACCAACTTAAAACTTTGATCTAGAAAAACACACTGCACAGATTGGAAAGTAATAACTGGGAAAATATATTTGGCTCTTAATGTATCTAAATGAAAGGAATCACCACTTTATTTCTCAAGCTGAATTACTTTAATAGTCAGTTGTTTGAAAATCTTCACATGATTACCAGGAAGGAATAACAGAGCAACAGCTAAAACCTGTGTGTCAGTCAAGATGACTTCGGAAGAAATGGCAGCTTCTGTTCTGAGACCCGTAACTCAGAGAAAAGTGATTCCTTCCCAGACAGCTATGGATGAAAGTAGTGAAAACATCTCAGACATCAGCGTTTCAAATGTGCATACAGTCAGGCAGACTTCTCTTACCATCTCACAACTGAACAAGCTTAGAGAAGAGTCTTCTGAAAGCAACTTGCCTGAGATTCTCTCAATAACGCGGGAGAAAATAATGAGTGATGAGAACAGTAATGAAAAGTGCTGGGAGGAAAGCATGCCAGATTCTGTGAAAAATCTTAACATTAACTGCAACAACATACTGAAAAACCATCAGTGTGGCCTTCCTCAGAGCCACTTTTATGAAACATGTGATTCTGTTGCAGAGGAAGGGCTGTGTTTGGAAACTGAAATCCCTTCTTCCCTGGAAAGAAAGGTGTTCCCTGGAATTCAACTGGAAGTAGAAGGACCTCCCATGGACATCAGTCCTTTAGGAAATCAATCAGAGATCAAAGAACCCAGCACGGCACTCCCTGACAGCAATGTGGCAGTATTTCACTTTCATTGTGAAGTTGACAGAAGAATGTCAGACCCTTTCTGTGCCCTCCCAGATAACTTGATTTTGGATGATTGTGGAAACTGTGTACCACTGCCTGGTGTTGGGAGGGAGCAAAAGAAAAAGTACATGGCATATACTTGTGAACTGATGGAACTGGCAAATAACTGTGACAATAAGAATGGGCAGCTGCGGTGTGATCATTGTGACACCTTGAATGACAAATACTTGTGCTTTAAAGATTCTTGCCAGAAGGCCAACGAAGTATTTTCAAGCAAAAGCTTTTGCAGAGAGGAGATTGCTGACAGTCCGCCTGCTGAGACCTTTCTGAGTCATTTTGAGGACTTCCCTGATAACTGTGAAGATGCAGAAGATTTTTTTAAGAGCAAAAAGGAGCGGTCTACTTTGTTAGTGAGGAGATTTTGTAAAAATGACAGGGAAGTTAAAAAATCTGTGTACACCGGGACAAGGGCAATTGTGAGAACTCTGCCTTCTGGTCACATTGGACTGGGAGCTTGGAGTTACGTTGATCAGAAAAGAAGTAGTCTCTTGTTGCCTCGCAAAAGAGCGATGGAACGTCTGTCAGCAGTGATGAGGCAAGCTGGGAGGCGATATCGGCCAGAAGCCCAGTGGTATCTGGTAAGCCTTAATGTTCTTTTATTCCTTTCTTTAAACTTGCTCTTTAAAAATTCAAATTCTCACTGTCCTAATTCGTGGGAAAATTTGAGTTCTGTCAAATTATGATTCTTAGGGGATTCATTTGTCATTACTGGAAGCTAGGAAACCTAACATATTCTAGTTGAAAGTTGTCAAGATTGAGCTAACTCTGCAGTGAAACAAGTAAGTAACAAAACACACATGCATGTGTCATCTGGAGCAGAGAAATTAGGAAGATTATCTGGTTACTGTACACAAGATTATAGAACAGATACTCCTGGTAGTGGGAAACCAAGTTCATGGATGATGACCTGGTTCTGTCTTTTGGAGATACACACTCTTCTACCATGTAGCTCATGTTCAGGGAGCATTTCCTCCACTTTCCAACCAATGTTCTCAGTTTTTTTTCCCCCTCTCAATTTGTGTGTCTATGTGTGTGTTTGTGTGTGTGTGTGTGTTGGGAGGGAGGCCTGTGGACCTCTTTGGCAATGTGGTGAAGTTATAAACTCATAATAATGCTTTTAATGCATCAAAGGAAGCATTATAAAGGGGACAAATTTTGTACACATACATTTATCAAGATGTTTTAAAATTGTGATGTATCAAGGTTCATTAACATACTAAATAGTATGTGACAACTGTCTTATTTTCAAAGTAGTGATGACTGTAAGTAGGGAATGGTTTGACTGGAACTTTCCCAGTTTAGGGCCTGAAAATCCGAGATCTGGAAACCACTTGGTCCTGCACAAAACAGGGCAGTTCATCACCCTAAATGTTAATATTGGTTTAGGGTGTCTACCCTGACTGTAATAAATGGAAACATCTGTGATTTCTGTTGGTGACATGATCACAGTTATTGCCAGTGCTACTGAGGTTTGGTGCGTGCATTCATAATTGAAGCAAATGCTAAATTTCTATTTGAGATTAATAAAATATTTTTATCCAAATTTCTGGACTCTCTGAATTCCACCCCATTCCTCCTTTTAAGTTGAGAATCCTGCTTTAAAATGCACATGATCAGGCTGCCCACTCTTGTACCTGATCCTTTCATTTGGAGCTGGTGCTGTCTCAGTTGTTTTTTTTTTTTTTTTTTTCTGGCTAATCAGCCCTGCTTCTTTCAACTTATCTTCATGAGGAACCATTTCTAAAACTCTCACATTCCAGTTTTTCACTTTCCTTCCTTAAAATTTGGCCCTAAATGCTCAGTCTAGGAAAACGTTTATTTTATTGAAAGATCTACTATATTTTTACTTCGCCATCATCAGTCATCGTAGATACCATGCATTGAGTGCTCTACATGTGCCGGTATCAGGCCAAGCAATTTGCATACTTGATTTCATGCAATTATCTCAACTACTCTCTGGTATTGGTATCACTACTAATCCCACGTATTGCTAAGAAAATGGAGTCTCAAGAAGTCATATACCTTTTCCAAGATCACTATGCTAGTAAGTAGTATAACTAGGATTGTAATTCAGGCAGCTGACACTCTTAGGTAGTTTCTCAAAATCCAGAAAGAAAGAAAATTTAGAATAAAATTTTAAACTAATAGAGGATTCTGTTCATTGCAGCATCTGCTGATTGAGTAACCCAGTCTGTTATGGTTTCTCAGACTCGACCGTGTTAGATTTGGTGATTTTAACTCTGGTTATGTGTTGGAATCACAGTGTCCAGACCCCACCCCAGACCCTCTTAATCAAAATTGTTATGGCAGGGTACTGCATGCATATTTTTTTCAAAGTTCTGTTCGTGATTCCCTGCATTTTGTATATTCTATAGCGTTAAAAACCTCTAATCAGGAAATTAAACTCATTGGGCTCTTTGCTTCTTGATCAGGTGATTTCAGGAATATTTGCTCTGCCTAAAGACCTTGACACTATTTGGACTGTTAGGGTATCAGGTTTGACCTGGGAGTCTGCCTGAAAAATGACAGCCTGCTGGCCCTTCTTTCTGTACTTTCAACTTTCTCCAGAAAGTGGTAGATTTCACTTGATTCCTCATGAAATCTGAGTCCCACATAAGGTGGTATCAGCTGTACACATGCTTCACAGCTCTCCTGATGGACTTTTGTCCACACAGGGAGAGAGCAGCTCATCTTAGGCATGTGTTCTGCCTACACAGTGATCCCCTCCCCACCACGAACTGCTGCTGAGAGCAACGCATTGTCCCACTAAAAGGCAGTGATTTTTTTTAATTCACATACCGTTGAAGTTAAATATTAAGAAGGTTACAAAAATTTAAGTATAACAAAGCTAAGGGAAATTGGTTGCTTGAGAACCATTATCATAGTTCCCTGCACACGTACAGGCACGAGCGTCATGAAGCTGGTATAAATTTCAGAATAATTTTGGCATGCCAATACTCATTGCTCCAGTTTCTGGAGCCCAGCTGCTGCTGCTTCTGAGAATGTTCTTGGGTCCCAAGCCCAAACCATCCCCTTTCTGTCAGTTGCTGGAAAGGTTAATTTCCAATGAGAAGAACCAAAGAGATGATTCAAATCATCTCCCTCTGAAGGATGGGAGAGGCTGCCACACCTCTCTCAAAATGAACTCCAGGAATATCTCTCCCAGGGTGCTCTGAGCATTTTTATTAATCCTTAAAACAGAGCAGGGGGATGGGCTGGCTGTTCAGATTCCTGAAAGGGAGAGTCCTTTTTGAATGTTCAAACACATCATAGCAGGAATGAATCAGTATTTTCTAAAATATGCTATTTTTTCTGCTGCTCATTTCTTAGTGTGGATCCTGGTGGATTTCTCAAAGTCAAAGTCTCTCTAGAGTCCTTCTCAAAAGATGAGTTATAGTCACTTCCCTCTAGCTCTACTAAATTGCATATTTCATCTTAAAATTGCAGACCTAAGACTAAGCTCCTGATCCTATTTTCTGATATTTCATGTGTGGCCATCCAGGTTTCTCAATCAGCTTGTAAACTTAATAAGGGCCAGAAGCAGCCCTATCTTTTTCCTACTCTTCATAATGCAAGCAAAATGTCAAATATCAAAAAGACAGGATAATGTCCTTCTTTGAAAGCACAGTCTCAGGGAATCAATCAGCCTGCAATGAAAGTATTGCTTTGACTCCACCACTAACAGGCCATGTGACTTTGTGCAAGTTCTGTAATGGCTTTGTCTCTAATTATCTTCTATGTAAACAAAGAATGGTGGTCTTACTAGGAGATTAAATGAAATAATGCCAAAGAGTTATGCTCAGTTCCTGGTAAGGAATGAGGCCCATGCTCACTCTGGCCATTTATTACATGCTTTGTTGCAAGCTTGTCCCCACCTACTTCTCTTGGTGGCTTCTCACATGTGACATTGACAGTATATCCTGCAATCTGTGATGAGGTAGCTTAAGCAAGTCTTCCACACATTTGAAAATTTATTATTTGTCCAGTTAGTTCCTTTGCCTCACATTAACATGTTTTTCTTGCCTGCCTTCATCAAAACACTGCAATTAATTTGTATTTGCACAGCTGTGTAGAGAAGAATAAATTTGAACCGGAGACATTAATAAGGATTAATGCTTGTTGACTTACTAACCATATTGGTATCCTCCTCCCCCTGCTTGTGAAAAAATTAAAACCTACTCCTTATCCAGTTACAGCCATACTCCTCTCTAACTCTCGGTTTATTAGCTGAACAAGTCACATATTTTGGCAGGTGGCCAATGTCTCCAGGTTAAAGGTTGGTTAAGGGCGTTTTTCCTTTTAAAAAGTTTGCTTCCTGCCTGAATTTTGGGTAATTTCGGTAGTTAGAGTTATTCTGAATATTGAAGGACAGGCAGTTTCTGCCTCTGCTGGAATCTGTCATGTGACCTAGTTCCATGTGCACTGCAGATGGAGAAAGTGAGGGGGTAGGGCAGAAGGTCCACCAGCTTCTCTAATGGAGCTTCATTTATTTCCCCACATTGATCCACAAGAGGACCTACTAAGCAAGACTATGGGGTCTTCCCTGGTGGCACTGTGGTTGAGCGCTGGGCTGCGAAGCCACCGGCAAGGGTCCCACATGGCTCACAGACCTCTCCTGCTGCGTCCGCTGCTCCCCTCAGCAGTGCACTTCGTCAGTATGCCTGTTCTGTTCCCTCTCTGGCTCTGGTGAATTCTCTCACCCTCCCGCACTTCTGACTGTACCCAGTGTTTGTATAAATAAAGTAAATAAATCTTAAAAAAAAAAAAAAAACTATGTATGACACCTGGTGGGGGGATTCTAATGCACTTCAATTAAAAGAACTAATAAATTTATTTTTAAAAATAGAATATATGTCCAATATAGAAAAAAAGAAGTTTTATTCTTAAAATATCAGGCTAGAAAAGCTGTAAATTAAAAAGGAGAGTCAAAATCAACTTCTGTATTGCTACCTGTTCTGCTCTCTTCTTTGCAAATGTGTCTTTTTTTCTTCTCACTTTATTATTCTTTCTACAGAGAAAATTAAATTTAAGAGGCAATGAACATTTTTTTTAATTAACCTGTGTGAATATATCTATATTTTTTATTCTATTTTTTGTCTTTCTAGTTGAGTTGAATTTAGGAGAGATAAAATGTCTCTATTATACTAAATTCATCTTCTAAGTTGTAACTTTTGTGGATTATCAAATACCAGTTGAGCCCTGCTGTTTGGTATTAGAATAGTGGCTATTGAAGTAGCAACATGTCTTATTTTCTTATCTGGAAATTCAGTCTTCCTGCAACTTGGGTACAATTTGGACCTGAAATAATTATAATTTCACAAGGTACTGAGGACAGAATGAAAGCCTTGGAGACAAGCCAGGTTCTTCTTCCTACTCAGGGTTATGTCAGATTATTAACGTAGAAGGATGCTGACTCCCTTTTGCTGATCACAGTGAAAGGAAATCAGCGGCTGGTCACCCCCTGTGCAACTTAGTCACCCTAATGGATCAGTGGAAAATGTGACAGACTTATCAGAAGGCAGTTCTTTGATGATGGGATGGCGTTCCTTATTAGCTACATTGAGACAGTCCAAGATAA